TTACATAGTAGGCATGCTGAATGCCTCCGTAGAATATCATGTGATGGTATTGGTGTGGGTGATTATAAAAGTTATATCACTAGGGCATTAGCATGGATACGCGGTTAGTGAACTGTTTATCGAATATGGCCATTTATGATGAATCACATGGACATTTAAAATGTAGTCAATGATTTATCATAAGATCATACTAGGGTATTTTTAATCCTTAGACCTGAGATATCACGGTTGGATTCTGCATAAACGCATATGGTTCATATGGTGTATAAACATGAGGCTAATCATGCCATGTGTTAATAAGCCGATTTGGCCATGTGTTGTTTATGTGTGAGGACAAGTGATAGTCAAGATGGGATCCGTTGACTTGGTATAGATTGATATCAAGTTCCAAGACAAATGTCAAGATACATTGGAAAAGGGAAATCTCCGGCCGGGGTATATAAAATGTTACATGAAAGGTTGTTTCATGGTGACACGTTCCGTATGTATTGAATTAAAATTAAGATAAGGATTTTGACATACCATGAATCCATTCTTAATTGGGATTAGACAACGGAAGGATTTGATTATACAACATGTATGATTGTAAAAGGTTCGTTGGAGTATATCTTCATTGTGACTTAGGGGTTATGGAGCATTGCTAGATGCCTACCATAATCAGTGGGAGTTTTGTTCATAAAGAGTTATGACAAAACATATCGAAATAGTCTGTGATATTGGGCCCACGGCTAGGCCACAGTGAACCTAAGAGGTCACACATAAAAACTAAGGAGAATGAAGAAATAGCCAAAGAGAGTTGATTATCCAAGGTTGGCTAGCACCTACCAAAGGTAATAAAGTTATTTATATTAATCATTTTCTTTATATTAAATTGGATTTTACAAGGGGTTGTAATTGTAAACAATTTAAGGGTTAAATTGTTATGTAAACAATTTAAGAGTTAAATTGTTAATTGTGATTAAATGTTAATCCAATGTTATCATTTAAAGAAGTTTAACAACTTCATAACAATTATGGAATTGTTTAAGGAAGTCCAAAACAATTATTGAATTGTTTACAAGGATTCCTATATAAAGAAAATGATATATCAATTTTTGTGTAGAGAAAAAAAATCTCTAAGAACCCTAAACCTTTCTCTTGGTCAAATTTCTTCTTCCCTTGGTGTGGATACTCTTTTGCTTAATTTCTCTTGAAATTAAGAAGCTCCAAGGTTGCTAAGGGCTTAAGGTAACATGTTCTACCTTACTTATTTCAATTTGATTGAATTTTTTTTTAAACTATGACTATACTTGTTATAGTATGATATGTTTGATTCTTCATGCATCCATCTTTCATATAGCCCCCATGACTGTGAAAGGTAAGCTTTTGTAGAAATGGAAAAAAGAGAAAAATGGAGAAATTTCCTTACCTCTTGGTTGCTAGGAATGGGTGCTCTGTCGTAGCGTTAAATTCGCATTAATTGGAAGAAGAAGAATAGATTTTTGGAGCTTGAAAACGTTGTTTTTCTCTCTGAAGAATCTGAGTTCTCTGAAAACTTAGGGTAAGCCTAGGGTTTTATAAGGTGGATGGCGACACTTGGTTTCTTTTATAAGCGAAGTTTGGGCGAGAACGCACTCCTAGCCATTGATTGCAACCATGTGTCGTCAATCCGCGATAAGAGTAATCCTCATGCTTTGTGAAAATCAACCGGCGTATTTCTTTATCGAAATTGCCAAGTGTCGGCATGATTATCTCCTTCATATTAAATGCGCTCTCATCCACATTTAATTCTTCAAAAGGGAATGTCGTTTCAGCATGGCTTGCATTTAATGCTCATGGCTAATACTCATTAAGCGCAGAGACACGTATGTCATATAAGGTTTGTCTTATTGACCGAGCCAACTGTCAAGCGCAATAGATAACATCTAAAGATGTCGTTCGAAAAAGACATTTGGTCAAATGTCAGACTCGAACACCGAACAAGATGGTTCTCAATTTTCAACAGCAAAATGTTCTAAGTGTTTTCAGGTCGTGCATGACAATTGGGGTTAAAAACACATCTTGATAGCACAAGACAAGATCAAACTCAGGTCGACAGACCTCTATAAACGATCACGTCAGGCCACTAGTGTTACTCTCAAGGTCTAGATCATGACCTACACTTAGTTTGTTGGTCATGTCAAGGTCTAGATCATGACCTACACTTAGTTTGTTGGTCATGTCAAGCATTCAGCTTCAGATCGCCTGAAACGATGTGACTATTCTTAGCTTTCAGCTCGAGCAAACATTTCTGAAGACAAGTCAAGTCGCAACATAATCATGAAGTTCTCAAGATCCAATTCCTTGAATCTTAAGAACTGGAGAGCTTCTGTTATGCCTAAAAAATCAGGGCTAACGTAAGCTTACATCAACAAGCACCAATCAGAGTTCAAGAAGGCTTTACACCGTCCAGAATCGACCACGTCGCCCCAAGACAGAGAGAATATGGTTGTCACCAACCTAGCAGATTCAAGTTTTGTCTACAAGTAAATAGGGATTGCACATCTGTTCAAGCCCCAGATAATTTGAGGATATTTCTTAAGTTATCAGCCAATGGGAGGCAATAAAGGACTTGTCCGACACCTACCCACTTGCAGACTTGTGATCATCACCTTGAATTTAGCAACTACAAATAGAGGGCTCCCTCTCACAAATTCGGGATCGATCTCTAATTTTCATAACAATTAAAAGCAAAGACAACCTACGAGATAGAGACTAGCTTAATATTCTCTCTAAATATACAGTCTTGTACCTCTGTTCGCTGTTTGCTATACGTGACCTCTTGTAATACATTTATATAAAAAAAATAGTGGATGTAGGAATCGCTTTAAGCATCCGAACTTCAATGAAATTCTCACCGTCTTGTTTATTACTAAGTCTTTGCATTCAATTATGTTTATAACCTTGTCCTAACTCACAAATCATATCACATGTAATTTCTAAAACTTGTTTAGCACTTTGCATATGCGAGGTCATTGGTATCAAAATCAAGTATTAACAACATTAGCATACAACAGCTCAAGAGCATTCAATGTAACGTGTGATTTCCTATTGTGATTAAGGGGAGTAAATTTTATAAAAGGTTATTGTACTGGACATGTATGCAGGGGCGGATTCAGCTCCAGGCCTACCCTCAGATTTGAAAAAAAAATTATTAATATACAGGCCATAAAAAATTGTTAATTAACATATATACTCAGCGCACTTTCAAATTTTAAAAAAATAAGAATTATTATACATACTGTATATCTAGGTCTACAAAAAAACTTGTTAGTAATATATATATATATATATATTCCAAGCCCACATCATATTAAAAGTTTAAAACTCTCTCCAGTGTTTTTCTACACAGTTTTACCTGTTTTTTATGATTTTATCCGCAAATTCTTTACTCTCTCTTTCTTTTTCTCATGTTATTCTCTCTTAAAATTTTTGAAGAGTGAAATTGTTAAATTTTCACTACTCAAGGTGTCGTAATTAGCTCCGTTTTCTGTTTTATAGATTTTAGGTATGTGTATTGTTCATTTCAATTTAGTTTATTTAAGGATTGAATCATTTTTTTTCTTTTTGAAGTTTTTTTTTCTAATTTGAGAGAAAAAGATATTAATCTTGTGAGTTTATTTTTTATTTTCTATCTAAGAATGAACCTACTTTCTCAAATTAAAATATTAACTATATTTTAAAGGACGTTATTCTTCATCTTTCACCCACCACTTTCCTATATATTAAATGTCACCGTTCAGTTATTCAAAATTATTAAAGAAATTTGCGTTATTATCTATGTTTATATTAAAAAAAAAAATCCCCTTTTTTATTAATTCATATTAAAAGTCAACGTAACGTTGATTTGATTTAAGTTTTGGTTGACTTTAGCTTAATTAGACTAGGTTTGATCAACGCTATGAAAATTTATATTATTATATTTGAAAGCCAAACATAAAAATATTAAAAGAAGGTTTTGTTCAAGGTTTACTCAACACTTTTACTCAAAATTTTGTTTCTCATATATTTATTCAAATAAGAAAATATTGTGTTAATGTATATTCTTTTTTCTCAAGTTCTTAATATTGTATTATTTTTTTTATTAAAGTTTGGTGATTTTTTTAAGTTTTCACTAATTATTTGACAAATAATGGCCAAGCCGCAGAGACTCCCCCTAAATAAAAATCCTGGATCCGCCACTGCATGTATGCATTGTCCCATTGGTTATTTTGACAAAGTTTCTAACGAGACAATTTAAGCACACCCAACACTATTTTAATTTTGCCTGATTTTTACCCCGTTTGGCTTTTCCTAGTAAAGTCAAATACAGTTTATCGATAGTATCCAATGGACAGTGTCGTGAATGAGAACCCCACCAAGACGGTTTGATGGCTCCTTGCCTCAAATCCGTAGTGCTCGATCTCCTTATATTGATTTGCTTCTTTTCTTACATTTTACGGGTCTGAAGTGCTCAAATCCCCTTTTATTGATTTGCTTTTTTTCTTACATTTAATGGGTGGTGGCTCATTAATTGAAATTATTCCCTTTTGAGCCTATAAATATGGGCTTGTGACAGTGGAAGAAATACAACAAAATCAAGCTTTCTCTCCTTTCATTTCTCTGACGACTCATTCTATATACTTTCTTATACTTCTTATTTGATCCATAACTCTGTTCAATAATTAATTTACTTAAGACTAAAATTACATAACATTACTAAAATTATATCATAACCTTCTTTTTTTTCTTTTTTTCTTTTTTATGCGTTTTTGAAACTTTGGTTAATGATTTATTACTGTCTTTTTCTTTATACCAATTCATCCTTGAAATAAACCATATGTTTGGTTATTTTACCCCTGAAAGTTGAAAGTTGAAACCGATACTTTTCTCAAACATCGACCATGAAATGGCCATAAGTGTGACTTTTTGAAACCTGTGGGTCTCCCTATAGTTTTCCCTACAGGTAAGAGGTGCTAATGAAACAAAAATCCCTGGAGCTCATTTCTAAGCACAAACTCTTTCGTTATTCGTATGGTGTTGTGTTTCTCACATGAAATTACTCAATTAGTGAACACTAGCTAGAGCACAACAAAACAATGGGCATCCAAGACACTTACGAAAATTGTCATTTCTCACCCTGGAAGTCGCACTGATGGATGCTGAATTCGGTTTTTTTGAAAAAGGTTTTATGAGTTTATGGATTAAGGTATTTTTGTGAATGCGTTCCAACTGTTTGTCAATTTGTCCAAGTGAATGATTGCAGAGAGAATGAAGGTGAAAGTAGTGTGTAGAAAAGTGTACGATTACATTCGCTATGACTTGAAAGAAATTGCGTTTCCTTCTTCACTTCCCGACCCTCCTCACATTAAAAAGCGTCGCAAATTGACTTGGAACGAGCGTTTTCTAGTAACTCCTCTTTTCATTTAATTTTTTTTCGTCTTTTTTGCAGAACATGTTTTTAAAATAAGTTTAACCCGTATGAGATTTTTTTTGTCTAGGTGTTGAAGGAGGCCTCAAGGCTTTATGCTGCTAGCTGGGTACGAGATATTGGTCCTGATCTTCGCCCAAATGATTATAAGAAGGATGACGAGACTGATGATGATAGAGCTAATGGTGCTAAAAGTGCAACTAATGAGAAAGAACCATCTACGCTTGAAGATCTTGGTGAGCAATTTCTGTCTCATATATGCTATGTTCAAGTATTTAACTGTTGTTCTTTGATAGTTTATAGTGCTTCTGAGTGCGGGTCCAACTTTATTTTAAAACGGTTGTTTTGTGGTTGTAGAGATTTTCGATTTTTCTGTTAATTTTGATGTTTGATTGGGGTATTTTTGGAGCAACATTTGATAAGTGATGTTTTGAAAAGCATTTTCACCACGAACAAGCACAAGATTTAGAAATCCACCTTTGTAGGTGAGAAATTTCGTCATTATACTAACGTAGTTTACAAGTAACCTAATTAGTGTTTTCTGATGATTTATAGTGAATTTGTTTTGTTAAATAGTTAAAGAGATTTACTAATAATTTCGAAGTGTTTTGTTTAAGTGCTTTTTGAAGAATCATTTGATGAGCTTTTTTTCAAAATCCGTTTATAGCTAAGAGAAGCACTATAAGTTTTTAATAGAAAAGCACTTCATAGGTGCTTTTCCCAAAAAAAAAAAAAACCAGTTATTAGTGCTTCTGTAGAAGCACTTCCAAGCACACCCTTTCTTTATTTTCTTAGCTATTATATGAGGCAGATTATTTTAGTGGCTAACAACTGTAACTGATGTTCATATTAGCCTAGTCCACATAAGGTTGTGTGTAAATGCTTGAACATTAATTTTGCAGCATGTGCGCTTCAGATACACTTGACTCTGAAGAATATAGTAAATTGATGTATATGTGCTTCCTTAAAGAATATTGCTTGTTTTAGAGAGAAAAAACCATCAAAATTTCCTAGAAGAAGAATGGCTAAAGAAATTGAAAGAATAACATAAGTTTTCACTCATTATCCAGTGATGTGCTCTCACCTGTGAGGGAAAGGCCTATTGTGTGGTGTTTCCTTAATTTTTTCTTTGCTGTTTGCAATATAATTGTTTGATTCATCATGTAGAGGCTAGTTAGTCATCATCATATTAGGTATTCTACCTATTAGTTTCTATAAATGAAGCTAAGGATTTGTGTGAGTCGTTTGGTGCTTTGAATTAATTTTGCAAAGGGGTATGATCATCGGTTTGTTTTAGGTATGGAAGAAAGAATTGCAGTTATCAACTAGTTTTGGATTTGGTTCGGTTGGTTGAAAAACTAGGCTTGCATGACCATTAAGAATTTTAAAGCATTGTTTATATTCCTGCCTAACAACAAAACTTGTAACCCTAAATTGCTGCCTTCCATAACTTTTCTCGGGCATATGCATTGACGATGCTGTGCGGAGATCATGGAGGTGCATAAGCTTTTTGTTCTGTAGTTAATTGGCTTAGGCAATTGTCTCAAGGCAAAAGCTTTTTTCTATGGATGAGACTATTTTCACTCTTAAAACTACCGTATACACCTATTTTTCTAAGTACACACATTATTAAAAATTTAAGAATGATTTCTAATATACTTTCAACAAAAATTTTGGTTTTTTTTCTTTTGAGGTGCGTACAAGCTGGTCTGAACACCCCGATCACCAAAAAAAAAAATTGGTTTTTGTTGTATTTTTTATTCAATTAAGCATTAATCTATTATTTTATATTGAAATTATATTAACATGTGAAGTAAAAATCTAACTTTTAAAATTTTGGCTGTGGTTGTGCTTGAAAATGGGTGTTGAGAATCGTTTTTCATTGGAGTTTAAGAGAGGTGTTTTTAGTAGTTATAAAGGGCTTTTTATGGAAGGAATTTAGTAAATGTTAGTCAAGAATTGCAGGTCAATTCGAGAGACATTTTTGTCTGTTTGTTAAGGTTCATGTCTCATATATGGTGTTTGGCTGTCATACATTTTTGCATTTTCTTTGTTCTTAATATTGATAGTTATAACCAGACTCTTTTCTTAATAGAGGAGTCACTCAACGAGAAATTTCCAGCTTGTATTCTTTCTGGATTCTGTGTTTTCTTGGGTAATCTTTGGAAAGTGGTATTCATATTTTCTGCTTTTGCTTTGTTTGCCTCCTTCTTGTTATTTTGATTTAGAGCACATCATTTGCTGTATTTCCTTTGCTTTTGTTCAAACATTTTTGTAAATATTGTTAATTGTTGTCAGAAAGCATTATTTCAGATTGTTTTATGCTCCATCATAAGTTGTGGGAAATATAATAATATGCTATGGCCTGAAAAAGCCTCTGCACTGTTAATGAAGTGCAAGCTGTTCTGCTATTTGCCTCCAAAATGTTCCTACTTGAAAGGTGTAACTTCTTTCTAAGTGCACTAAAGATGATTATCTATTGGATGGTAAATTGAACTTAGAACATCAAACAGTTCATCATGGGAGCCTGACTTTTGTATTTTATAAAATAGTGGTAAACAAAAAATTAAACCTATATGAACCACCCACATGTGGCCGGATGGATAGAGGGGCGCATGGTTGCAAGCGGCCCCTCGATCTTGAGTTCAAGTTGTACCAAGGGGTGGCTAATTACCTTACCTTAAAAAAAATTAAACCTATATGGTGAGAAAAGGCAGTGATGAAGTTCAATCAGTTAATCTCAAATGATGAAAAAGTAGTGGACTGAAAAGGTTTGTTGATTTATATGAAGAAACTAATGCAAAAAGTAACCATGGGAAAGAAGGTGTACAAAATGGCCCAACGACTTGCGCATACCCAAGGTTTGCCATAACGACAAGTTGGTACCCAAAAGGTTTTGAAATGACAAACAGGTACCTTCCGTTATGTGCTGTTAGTGATTTTTGTTTGTTAACAGTGAAAAGACTAAAATGCCTTTGAAAATTTGATATTTTAGTTTTTTATAAATTTCTAAAAAACCCCCTAGGTTTGCTAATTTAACTAAACACCCCCATATATAAAAAGTTTGTTAAATGACAAAAACACCCCCACACATGCAGTGTTAGATTTCAGCCATCACCGTCGGAATCTGGCCGGAAATTGTGTTACGACACAGACCCTGTCGGATCTGTGTCTTAACGCGTCGATCTAGCCTTTTCCGACCAGATCTACAGCCTGATCTGGCCAGAAAAGGCCAGATCTACAGCCAGATCTGGCCGTCGACGCTGCAGATTGAGTTTTGCGGCCACGACAACCAAATCTAGCCGTAGATCTGGCCTTTTCTGGCCAGATCAGCTACGGATCTGGCCAAAAAAGGCCAGATCGACACGTTACGACACAGATCCGACGGGTCTATGTCGTAACGCAATTTCCCGGCCAGTTTCCGGCGGTGGTGGCCGGAATCTGGCACTGCGGGTGGTGGGGGTGTCTTTGTCATTTGATCTGGCCGGAAAAGGCCAGATCTACAGCCAGATCTGGCCGTCGACGCCGCAGATGGAGTTTTGCGGCCACGACAGCCAGATCTAGCCATAGATCTGGCCTTTTCCAGCCAGATCAGCCACGGATCTGGCCGAAAAAGGCCAGATCGACATGTTATGACACAGATCCGACAGGTCTATGTGGTAACGCAATTTTCTGACCAGTTTCCGGCGGTGTTGGCCAGAATCTGGCACTGCAGGTGGTGGGGGTGTTTTTGTCATTTAACAAACTTTTTATATATGGGGGTGTTTAGTTAAATTAGCAAACCTAGGGGGTTTTTTAGAAATTTTTAAATTTATTAAAATCTAAAATATCAAACTTTTAAGGGCATTTTAGTCTTTTCACTATACATAAACAGAAATTACTAACAGCACATGACGGAAGGTACTTGTTTGTCGTTTCAAAACCTTTTGGGTATCAACTTGTCGTTTCGGACCTTGGGTATGCGTAAGTCGTTCGGTCGTACAGAATTTCTATTTGCTAGGTGATTTTAATGCAACTTTGGTCTTTACTGTCAGAATCATATTTCAAATTGCTGTTAGTTTATGTAGATTTGTTTTTGGAAAAACATTGAGCCATAATGAAGATGACAAATTGACACAGTAATGAAATTCCTGCTAGGATTTTTACACAAGTGCGATTAAAGCCGTGTTTACTTGTTTGTTGTTGGTTTTGAAGATTTCACTTCCAGTCATCATAACTGCTGATTCGTTTTATGATTGTCAAGATTAATGTTACATTTTCTTGTGCTAATGAACTCGCATCATAGTGGAAATGTAACAGAACTTAGTCTTTATCCCTGTTAAATAATGACTATGGCTGGATAAACTGTTTTGCTGTTTGCAATTCTTTAAATTTGTAGTTTACTCTGTTAAATTCTGACCCTGGTTGGACAATATTTGCTGGTATAAAATATTAGCGGTGGCTGCTAGAGGAGGAATGGAGACATTAAGGCCAGCTTTGCAGCGAGTCTACATGACAAGAGCTTCTGCATATAAAGATGCTCTCAAAAGTTTCATAGCAGGGTATCAAGAAGGGATCCAGCAAGTCATGGAGAAGAAGGAGGATGCTAAAACAAAAGAAGAAGGCGATATCCCCAAAAACTCTACTAGTCACTAATCTATACTAGGCAGTATATGCGAGTATTACTCCAGCAATGTACTATTGAGAACAAATTAAGAGCTCTCCTGCAGCTGGGTTTGCTAGAATTTACTAGTGTAATCTATCCAATTTGAGGGTTCTACTCTGCTGTAAACAAATCTATGAAGGATATGAATATAATTGAATTTTTATATCTAATTTCTTTTGGAATCTATTTTTCCATTCCTTATACGGAATCCTTTCCTTGCTATCTATTTATGTTTCACACAAGTAATTTTTGGTTTATTGCCAGTGATCACATCTGTTCTGTATTATTATTATTCTTATTATTATTATTATTATTATTTTTTTTTTTTTTTTTTTTTTTTAATAACCATAGACCAAAATTACTTCATGGGACTCCATTGCCCAATTGTTGTATCTAGAATCAATCCCAACAATACCAGAGCACTGCCAACTGTAGTTCAATGGCACAGGTTGCTTGTAACATGATTTAAGGTTTTATGTTGAGGAAAATGAGCAATAAAATTTTTAAAATACATGAGATTGCCGATGATGGTGTGGATTTCTTCAACTCCTTTCCAGATGTTGATGTAAGCATTACTTTTGTGGGAACTAATTATCATTTAATCTCTCTTTCTCCCTCCTTGTTCTAATGTTTGTTGCTCTTTCTGCTGAACAGACTAATGCTCATGGAAATAGCGGAGCATTCAGGAGACAAAGTCTGAACTTTAATGGTGAAAGAAAAAGTGGTGATTCTCTAAATTTTCTTATTTTGCTAGAGTTTTATAACTAAAGATACAATTATATGGGCATAAGCTGGAAAATATAATTTAAGCTTTGTTTATTGTGTACTTCTTATCAGCTTTTTCTTTTATTATTGGAAATAGAGTCAGACATTTTTGGTTCCACTGGGATTATCCCTCAACATTTAATGGGTAGAATTTTCTCACTGATTCTCTCAGCTTAAAATCTTTTTGTTCTTCACGGTGTTTTTTGGAATCTGGTAGTCCTGGACTTTTCTGTAAAACTACCTATTTAAGATAGAATCATATATATGGAGGAGATGATCTTTAGTTTTGTAAAAATATTTGTGGCCGAAAATATGTGTCATCAAATGCAAGGGTGAAGCTAATACAGTACATGGTGGGAGGAGGATCTTGCATAGTTTGAACAACTTTATAGAGCTTAAGGCCTCAGAAATAGAAGTTGACTCTTACTATTGACTGCTAATTCTCTTGCACAAATTGCATTTCCGCTTTTTAACAAAGTAGCTCTTACTATTTCAAGGAAGAGCTCTATTACTGGGAGACTGTTTGTGGGCTTCTTTGTCAGGTTATATCTTTGCATTGGTGGCGTTTCCAAATACCAGCATCTACCTCATGACTGGGACTTTCTTGGAGTCTTTCTAGCACTTGGGCCTTGCTTTTAGGTAATCTTAGGAACATGAAATTAAGATTCATTTGCATGACCAGTAGCACATTTTGTTGCAAATTGCCAGGGAACCTTTTGTACAAGGACTCAAGATTAGGTTGTCCTGCAGATACTGCATATTTTTTCTCCATATCAGGTGGATTTTTAGTGGTTATTTGGTGTTACTCCAACAGATATACCTGTATCGGAATTTGGAACAGTTTTGATTTCTCAAGTTATCAAGCTAGTTTTTACAAAAGTAAGGTTCTACTCAACATCATTTTTCACTTTTCTGTGACTATCTCAATGATGTCAAGCCTTTTTCTTAATATCAGTTGGATTTTTAGTAGTTATTTGGAGTTTACTCCATATTGATGTATCTCTTCCTGAATTTGTTACTTTTTTGGTTTCTTATATTTCTAGCTAAGTTTTACATAAGTATCTATTGACATCGTTTTTTGCTTTTCGTGGCTATTTTAATGGTGTCAAGGCACATATCAACATCATTTTTTTTTTTGGCTCCTGAGGTGATTAAAGGGAAAAGAGTTCCTTTTCCTTGACAGGGGCAGGAGGTGAAGGTAAGGTTGACCAATAAGCCCCAATTGCAAAAGCGCAGATGGGCTGATAAGACAAAAAGGCAAGTGGGATAAAGTAATCACATGGTTTTTCTATATTTGTACTGTACTGAGTCATGCATGATTGAATTATTCTCGCAGGACAAATCAATTACACAGGAGGAGCCCCTAAATGCCTTTGATTGGCCACTATCTTAAGGCCAATGATAACAACACATATCCGGGGACCTCCCACTAGCAGATTCACTAAACATTAGAGCCATCAGCAGCAGAGGTCAATGGACAAGTCTCTTGTCTGAATCTATATGGGCCACGATAATCACTTGGCAGAGGTAATGTATAAAATCTGTACATCTTGTCACTTTATTCATCTGTCTATATTGTTGTCTTTTGATTCACTTGAGAGGTATAGATAACATGTTCACACAAGCTAAAGCCTGTAGCCACTATCCTACCCAGAATGATAAGTAGTACTAGTTTTGTTTTAGTTCAAGTTGCTAAACTTTTGTTAGTTGGTGCGCTGCATCATTGATTAATATGAGTCATTGATGGGTCACATCTAGCATTGGCCACTGATAGAAATTGTCATTTAGAAGGGCATGATGTTGATTTGAAATAAACAATATGCAAGTTCTATCAAATACTGTGTGAACACCCTTCTTGGGCTCTAAGCCTCAAATGGTTCCAATTGTGTCTTGGATTCTGTTATTTTCTATTTGTATCAATTACTGGTCAGTGTGTTTCAACACTCTGCATGGACATAGAATCCGGAAGAGTTCACTTGGTGGGTTCGGCACTTGAGCTGGATTTCAGACTACAGAACTTTGAATGAACCAATGGTTTTAGGATTTCGGATTTTAGTTCTGGTCTGAGACTTTGAGGCCGTGTCAATATATCTGGTTGTGGGATGTTTGTTGGGATTTCCATGTCCCAACTGGTCTCTTGCACTGATTAGAAGTTCAGCTTTGTCGCCCCCACTAATCAAATACAATACAAATGCTGTTAAGTTCGATTTTTCAAGTCTGTAATACTATAATTTAGGTATAACAAAACTCATTTTTAGCCTTGTGTCAGTTAACAAGAGTTGAACATTGCCTGATGTTTATGCTTTGGTTTCATGAATCTCTATATTTTGAATTACTTTCTTGTTATTTGTTTTTAGGGTTATACATATAGTATCGATAACCTAACTTTTGACTTGTAACATTTAACCATTATATATGTTTTCATATTACATATGTCTGTCATTTTATTTTATAATTTATGTTATCATTTATGATTTTTGTAAAATCTTAGAAATTTAACGATTCACGTTATAAGTTTGACATTCTTGTGATACGATAATGAAAACTTTCTATTAGGGATAAAAAGATAAGGGGTTCTTCTGGTGTCCCTTACACGAAGCCAATGTCAAGGCAGATTTATAAGTTTTCATTATAAGGTCATTATCCTTAACATTCACTCTTAGGGATAAGTTTTCAACCATAGGAAGGGAGGTCTGTTACATAACTTTACGAGGCTTATTTTATTTTCCCCTCATACGAGATTGCTTAAAATGAACTACATCCATTTTACTCAGACAATATTAATCGAAATTTGGTGAGGAGGTGTTGATATTTTCTAGTAGGACTTTTGATAATTATAGAGGGGTTTTTGATATTTTGTGAAGGATATGTTTCATTCTAGGCCATCTCATTGGGGAAAATGAAATAAACCCTAATTTTACCATTCACAAAACAGATTTTTAGATGATTTTGCTCAAGTTAATTGCTAAATTGAACATAGATCCATTGTTGATAAAAAAGATGAAAGAATGAGAGATGATATTGAGTAAAATTGAGCCATTTTTTTTTTTTTTTTTTTTTTTTTTTTTTTTTTTTTTTTTTTTTTTTTTTTTAGAACAATAAGAATTACAGTAAACAGAAAACAAAAAATGATGATAATAATAGAATTGAAAAATTAAGTTTGCTCTCTCCTTTTCTAAAACCTTTCATCTTCTTCCTCTCACTTTTGAAAATTACAAGAAAAAAAAAAAAGAGGAATGGGCTTGGACAACTGGGCTGTCACCCATCTATTCAAAGTCACCTCCACCCACCCCACCACCACCACATTCACCGTCACCAATCACCACCCACCTTAATCAATTTCTTCATGAAAAATCTTCAGACAGAATCTCAACAGTCCCAAATGGATTCCTCTCTTCTCATCTCATCATCTTCTGGGGCATGGGCCCCCCACTGCCCTACCCCTCGCATAATCAGGTTTTTTTTAACTTTTTATAATCTTTTTTTCTTTTTCTTTTTTTTTCTTTTTCCTCATAAAATATTATAAAAATTTTTTGACCTTCCAAGTGGGGTTTCAATTGAAGTCAAATCCTGAACGTCACATCCTCCAGATCTTATCCTTGGCGATTCTCATCATCTGTTGACATCTTGGAGAAAGTGATATCCTTTACAATTACACACATAATAACATTATTTCATTAATCTAAAAAAAAATCACTTCAAATCAAACTTAATCCAGCAAAAAAACAAAATTTGTAAATATTTTTGTTTAGTCTCCAGTGTTGTTGTAATAAATTTAGGCCCCATCATTTTTAATTACAATCTTATACCCCCGACAGTATTAACAACATGGATTTGCTTAAAACAAAAAACGTGGATTTTAAGATCAAGGACAGTTGTGGATTTTTTTATTTCATTCATAATTTAATTTTACCCTTAAACAGATAGAGATTAAGTTAATGACAAACTATAATTTATCCCTGAATCAGCTACCTAATCTTATTTAAATTTAATTTAATTAAAAATTACACATTTGCCATGTGTTAAGCTCACCCTTAATTCTTGGCCTCACTAATTAATTATCAATCATATTATTAAATTAATCTGTCTCGTTAGAAGAAACAACTATATCACTCACAGCTTATCTAACATTTAAACTTTGCCTTAAAAAAATTAATAAAAATGGAGCTGCCTCCATCTGATTGACGGTTTGAAGAATATGCCTGAGAGTAATTAAACTGCTCTGCTCTGCTGCTGCTGCCGTAACCGCGGGCTTGACATGGCTCGACTCGATGAATCATCGAGGGTCGATGGCTCAACCCATCGAGCTGGCACTCCATGTTCACCCCAAATAGCCTTAAAGTCTTCGAATTTCCAACTGGGTTCTGCACCACAGACCCTAAAATGGCACAATGCGTGCATGTAA